TGGAGATCATGAAGTTGTTCGATTGAACGATACGCGTGTAAGACAGTTTCTAAAGGGTGGCCGTAACAGTATTTGACCTCCTTTTCGGCAATCCATCTGTGGAAAATTCCCCGTTCAGATACGAAACTGGAATTACTTTTGTTGTGCTGTTGTTTGTTGAACCTATTGAAACTGTGCACTTAGTGTTTTGTGACATTGTGAACGTTCTCATGTTCCCTTTGCTGACTTTTTAATTGTGACTCTTTGTTCTTCGCTACGCCACGAGCAATGGAATATGAGAATATATCAGAAGACCTAAATGAAAAGGATGCTGCTGCTGCCCTCCCGCTCGGTAAGTCTTCTCCGGCTTTATTAGTTACATGTGACAAGGCTGATGTTCGATCTAATTATGTTGCATTGGAGTTGAAAAGTGCGCATTTAGAACTAGAAGCTACTGAGGCTATTAAAGGATCTGCAAATGCCAAAGGGCGTGTCGCGGCAGCCTTATGGGCAGATAAGTTGGTTCGGGCTGCAAAGGAAGTGGATGATGTACCATTCGATGATCAAATTAGGGATAAGCTTCCCTTAGCAGAAGAAAGAGTTATGTCACCGACGCCGAGATATCATTGGGATTGCGAACCGAATACTTCCTATACGAGGCTTAGGTCGGATATGGCAGCCTACAACATCGATAAGTTGCTGACTCGCTTGGAGTTGCCTAGATGTGAAGTGCCTTTCTTTGACGGATCACCGAGTCGGTACATCAGCTTCTTCCGCCAGTTTGATGAACAAGTGGAGAATAGAGTTAAAGATGATGGACAGTGACTTACTTATCTTAACCACTATTGTCGTGGTAGGGCTAAGGATGCCATTCATGCATGTTTCGTGTATCCTGCATCAGAAGGATACAAACGGGCAAGGGCTATATTAGAAGAATTGTTTGTCCGTCGTCACATGATAGTTCAATCTATGTTACAAGAGATAACCGCACCAGCTCAGCTTAAGACCGACGCGGAGAGCTTATTTTTGGCTGACTTGAATTTAAGCAATACCCTGGATAAAATTCTGAATAAACTGCCAAGATACATATCAGTAGAATGAGTTAAGAGAGCCCATAAAATTTAGCAGTCTGACAGAGAACCAGAATCTCGAGATTTGTGTGAATTCATCGGTGTCAAGGCTCGTTTACATCGCAATAGGTACAGTTATTTGTTAGGTGAGAGAAAAACTCCGAAAGACCCCAAACCCAAGGAGGGATATTCTCGTGGGAAAACGTTCGCGGTAGTGACCCAAGAGTTACGTTGCCCATGCTGCAACCTTGTGCACGCCTTAGAACAGTTTCAAAACTTAAGCGTGAAAGAAAGACGGGAATTGGTATCTGCTAAAAAATCATGCTTTGTCTGTTTGAATCCTAAACATCGAGGTGCAACCTGCTTTCTTCGGATCCATTGTTCAGAGAAGAACTGTGATAAGCCACATCATAGGCCTCTGCACTGAAACCCGGATAAATTGCCCGTCACAAATGTCTCCTGCCAGAGGCTACCTGCTGCGGGGATGTAAGCCTAGTTGTAATACCAGTTTTGGTAGAAGGACCAAAGGGTTCAGTATTCGTTAATGCATTGTTAGACAGCGGAGCTGACATCTCTCTCGTTCCAGAAGATCTTTTGCAGTTGTTAGGATTTCAGGGAATTACAGCTAAGATAAGTTTGAATAATCCGATAGGCAAAGCACATCGTTGGTGCACACATGTCATGTTACGCCTGAGATCTATAGACGAAAATGAATGTGTGGACGTTGCCAGGGCTTATACAGTGCCTTCTATACTTGATGTGGATGCCACGCAACCTACTCAGGAAAGG